CCCTTCTCTCCACAGAGATGTGGTATGGCGTCTTCCTGTGGGCCCTCGTCTCCTCCCTCTCCTTCCACGTCCCGGCCGCTTTGCTAGCGCTCTTCACGCTCAGGCATCACAAGTACGGCAGGTTCATGTCCGTGAGCCTCCTGCTGATGGGCATCGTGGGACCCATTATCGCCGGCATCCTGACAAGTACGGTAGATGCTCGAAAATATGCCCCAGCTGGCTCTGCAGCCGTCAGAGCCTGCCCTCAGGAGCACGTCGAACCGCGGCATTTCCCGGGGTAGAGAGGAGATTAAAGTTTTGGCTACATTCCCCTCCTTGCCCCATGTTTGAAAGAGCTGGACCATCCCAACTGGTGTCTTTGCCAGGGGGACCAAACGTGCCCGTCAGGTGCAGAGCCAGGTGGGCTTTCAGGTTTCTGAGCACTCGGAGAAAAAACACTTACAGGTTTGGTGTCTGTGCACGAAACTGGGTAATATTTGCAGCTTGTGGGCTGTGGTGTAGAGGATCTTGTGACGAGAGCACATCCAGAATCACCCCAACCTCTGCACCTTCTGGAGGCCTCAGCAGAGCTTCACCACCAGGGTACCCGTTGCCACCAGCATGCGTTGGTTACTGGCTGAGGTCTGTCATGTAAACCCAGTCTGGCAGTTCTGCCAGCCGGCATGCAGGTGTTCAGGGCCCTTTCCCACAGACCCCTCCGTGTTCTCTGCCCCAGTCTCAGTCCTCCGAGACTTCCTCCTGTGGTATAGCAGTGTGTGCTGTCGCGCATTCACGTGTCGGCCTTTTTCCCTCTCCACAGGTGCTGCCATTGCTGGAGTTTACAGAGCTGCAGGGAAAAAAATGATTCCCTTTGAAGCCCTCATTTTAGGAGTGGGCCAGACGTTCTGCGTGGTGGTGGTTTCGTTTCTACGGATTTTAGCCACTCTCTAGCTCTTCCTCAGGCATTAGAGCTCACAAACTGGAGGAAGAGCAAAGTAACTGCTGCCTGTGCCACCTTTGGAACAAATCACGAGGGAGGACAACTCAAGGCGTGTGCATCTTCCACTGGTTAAAGGATATGTGAAAGCCTGCTCCTGCCTCCAGCGTGGCTTCAAATTAAGCTAAAAATTGTGATTTTTGTTACTTTTTGGTAACATTAAGTGCCAAGTGAAACCTTATTTCTCTGGAGGACAAGAAAATGGCTTCCGGAGGAGGAGGACACGTACCTTTTACCAGTGATGAGTTGTAGCAACGGGACACAGCTAAGATGTGACACGGGCTGTTCTGGGGTAGAAACAGTACTACAGAGTGATGTCATGTCTTCGGAGCTCGCTTGATGATTTGACCTCTTGCTACTTTGTTTGCAGTGAACCTGAAGCTCTTTTAATGTGAATTTTTTAAATAAGAAAATTAATTTGTTTTCTTCCTTGCCCCAACTTCCTAATACCAGATCTTGGTCATAGTGAGTTTGGGAGCAGCAAAAGGAAAAATCATTTTAGAGAGGTTAAAGTACAAATTTGTGGCTGAGAGCCATGACTATGCTGCGGCAGGGGAAATAACCAGTGTAAAAAGGAGGGCTGTTTTGTGAATTTTATTACGGTGAAGCTCTTCTGGCACCATGTACCTTCTGCCTGAGAGGCGAAGCACAGCCGAATGGGCACTACGCTCTGCTGCCCACCCTAGAAATCCCGGGGCGTGCGTGTGAGCGTGCACTGCTGCTTCTCAGGCTCTGAAGGAGACTCATGTTCTTAAACTTCCCCGTTCTCCTTTTCCTTGCTGATCATGTTTACATTGGTGTGGCAGATGGGGGTGTCTTCACTGATACGTGAGCGCCGCAGGACAGCTTGTGTGAAATTCAGCACGTGGCTCCTTCGGTGGCTGTGCTGGTCAGAACTGCACGGCCGGCGCTGGCTTGTTGTGGCTTGGGGCTTCCTGGGCGCGGAGGTGGTGAGCGCACCATGTTTTTGGCACCCCGCCCGCAGCGTGCCAGTGGATGGGATGCTGCGAGGGTCCCGGGAGGAGCCTGGGTGATTGCCATGTCTGTCAGGGAAGAGCCGTGTGAACACAGCCCCAAAGCAACCCTTGCCAGCAGGCAGTATGATCTCTCCTAATGAATTGATTTAGTTTGTTTTGTTTTAAGTGGCTTTTAATTAACTCTTAGATCTGTCCTTTCGCCTGGAGGCTGGGGCTCTCGGGTAGCCAGCTGGGTGCTTTCTGGGGGGCTTGGTGTTCTGGGGGCCCTTGGGGAAGCTGAGGTTGAATCCCAAGGGTGTGGCTGGGTGGTGCAGCCAGCTCGGTAGCTGCGCTGTGCTCCTTGGTTGCATGTCACCAGCGGATGTTCGTGGGGGCTGCCGAGGGAAGGTGCCGTCTGCGTCTGGCCTTGCAGGACATGCTTCCCATCTGTGGTTTCACTGAACTCCTTTGGTTTCCAAACCAGCTCACCTTTTGTACCTGCAGCATGTTGTAAGGCCAGTTGTTTCCCATGAACCCTATGTCCTCTGTGTTGAAACAACCCTCAACAGGGCCCTGCGTTTGTCACGGAGAAGAATTTCTCTCTATGTACTGACTTCTCCAGAGTGGTCTGTGGGGAGAGGCATTCTTCAGGAGCTGCTGGCTGAGGTTTATTTAAATTTTAGCCCATGTTAATTCAGGGAATAAAACTGTGCGTCTTAGGGAAGACTTTATTGTGAACACTTCTCCTTAGGTGGGTGAGATCCAAGCGGTATAACGTGTACTGAACCCTGGGTCTTCGGAGTGCCCCGTGTGCTGTGCTGCTTGTAGAGAGCCTGTCTTCCTACCGCCGCGCCCCCCAGGGGAAGGCTGGGCCTCTCCTTCCCTCTCCACTTCTGCCCCTAGTGAAAAAGCAGGATCGGTGATCTCTCTAGATGTCTTTCCCCCTTCCCACTTCTTATTTCAAATGGCTGCATACCCAGTGCATGTCCAGAGGGCCTGCTTTAATTCCCGTGGGTTATCCTGCGTTTTCCTGGATGGATTAAAAGTCTCTTCTGGGACTTAGACTGGTCAGGTCTGGCCTTATCTTTCAGGTGACACTAGAAACCGGAGTCCTGGGCACCCGCTGCGCTCCCCCTTCCCCCTGCCCCAGTGCCTGGCTTACCTCGGTGACAAGGACTAAGCTGATTGCAACTGGGAAAGCACTTTATCAGTGTGCCGCAGCACGGGGATGGTTCCTCTGCAGTAATGGTGCTGAGGCACGCAGGACACAAATCCGGGCTGTTAAGAACTCAGAACAAATGAAAAAAATTGCTCAATAAAATCACTTGGTGCTGGGCAAATGGCAAACCTCCTGTTTTCTACCCATCGTGATCTCCCAAAGTCCATTTTTGAGGCCAGGGGGGCTGCTGTAGTTGGCAGCTTGGCCACTGTTCGGAAGTTGAGTGGTTCGTGCCTCTCTGTGCCCAGGTGCCCTGATATTTTCAGAGAATTCTTGCATAAAAGATGAATGATCAGCTGCTGACTTGTCTTGAGAGGTATTGGCGCTAGGCGCAAGTCCTTCATGTCACCTCTGTACTTGCAGAGCAGCCTCCGCTCCCCTGGCTGCCTCCCTGCCCTCCTCTCCGGTAAAACCAGATCCAGATGGGAAGGAGGAGTAGTTTTGAGTCGACGCACTACATCGGTCGCTGCCAGCAGTTTCCTCCCCTCTCGCCACATCGGTTTCATCTTCCCTTAGTGATCCTTGTCCCGAGCGAGGTGAGCAGAGGGATCCCTTCAGTTTTCAGCTGGCGGCGGTAGACTTTGCTCAATCATCTTGCCAAAAGCTGTAAAAAGCTTGCAAAAATGTCAACATGAAGGTGTCCCAGGCTTGGCAGTGCGGTGAACTCCCAGCCAGGAGCGTCGGTCAAGGAAACACCTTGGAGGGAAACCGCCTGCCCTGGAGAAACGGCGCTGCTGGAGCAGAGACTGGTGGCCCTGCTTTCTGTGCGCACACACCCCCTGCGCTGGGCTGGTGACGCCCGGCTTCCTGTTGCTAATGGCTGCGGCTGTCGTGAACAAATCTTTGTATGATAGAAAATTCGGTAAATTTTATTTTTCTACTGACACTTTTAATCCTGGTGGTGATGATCAGTAAATTCTGTAACGATCGAGGTGAACGGAGTTGTGTGTTTCTCCTGCAGGGCGAAAGGGGGCCTGGGGTGTGCTTTTGGAATTGAGCCTTGCTCCTGCCCTGCCCTGGGCAGCCTGTGCCAGGAAATGTCCTGGTTCTGGTGGTTAATTTTGTCTCCATCAGGAGCTGGACCCATGCCTGCAGCCAGGCACCACAGCCCAAGACAACATCTTGCTGCTGCTTGGCTGTCAGGGACTGGCTCGGCTAGTTTTGAGGCTGAGTCCCTGTCCCCACACGGACGTGCAGGGTCCCCGCAGCCCCTGGGCTCAGTGCTGACCTGCTCCCGGCCCCCTGGGGCAGTTCTCCCCCTGGGGCTGTGGCTTTGCCAGGGCTCAGCCCCTGTGCACCACTCGGACTGTCCTGGGGGAGCAGGTGTGGGGCCCCTGCTGTCCCCTTGCTGCTCTTGGGATGGGACCCCACACCTCACCTGCATGGCTCTGGCAAAACCCAGGGCCTGCATGATTTTATACTGATAATCAAACCTACAAAGACTGAGATCAGCAAAACGAGTCTTTGTAAGAGGGTGGCCATTGCGCATGGTGGGCATTTCCCTAGAGCTGGCGACCACACACTGCTCCCCCAGGCCCCCAGGTGAGAGTGCTCTGAGGTCTGGCCTGAAAAATTCACATCCCAAGTCGGCAGGGATCCAGGAGGTTTTATTGGCAGTAAAAGGTCAGCACGTTCTCTTGGTTTCCTCGGGTGAGGATGACGGGGGGTCTCAGGTCCTGCGAGAGCGTCTCGAGCCAGGCCATGTAGAGGGAGCTGGGGAAAAAAAACCGATGGGCAGTGTGCTGCAGCGGCAGTGAGGGGCCGGGTGAGGCAGAGCCAGCGCAGCCCCCTCCGGCTGCCCCGCTGGGCCAAGCTCTGTCCTTAGCCCCTCTCTCAACCTGGTGCTAATTTGCAGGTTATTTCCCTAAAAACGGGCAACACCACGTCCTCCCCTTCCCACTAGGACCCAGGCTGGACCCCTTGGTGCCTTCCAAGGGCTTTTCCCTGCGGTGCAGCCCTGTCCCACCACAGCATTGGGGTGTCTGTCCAGGATCTCCCTGTGTGGGGGTGGGAGTGAACATCCAGAGGGACCATTTCCATGGGGAAAGAAACGGGTGCAAGAGTGTTGCTGGCACCTACATGGCTATGAGTGCTGCGTCCCGCGAGTAATCCAGCAAAATCTCGTTCAGCCTCACTTGTCGGAGCGACTGCGGAGCCCAGAGGGTTGACAAACGCAAAATGATTGTTTCCAAACAGACTGAATTATGTCTGAAAAGCAGGAGACCCTTTGTGGCAGCCCCCCCTGGCACCAGCACTACCTTGGCTCTGTTTTTATCGACCTCCTCGTCAGAGATCTTCCAGGGACAGCCCTGCCTCATCTCATTCACCGTAGCCTCATCTTTGAAGCCATCGTTCAGCCTGAAGGGAGCGATCAGGTCGTCGAACCTCTTGATGCTACAAGACAAACAGACGGTGCCAGGAAAGGGGGCCCGGGTGGGTTTTGGGGGGTGCTGGGTGGGCGGAGAAGGGGAGAGGGTGGTTACTGCTCTGGCCGGGGTTTCTGGTTGATATCGGGGAGGATGTGGACCTCATGGAAGCCGAGGCGGAACTTGCTCAGCAGAGAGACAATCCTACCAGAGGGAAAAGGACATATTTTCCAAAAATTAGCAGGACACAGTGGCTCCGGCAGGGACCTGCCCTGGGAGAAACCCCTGCTGCCGTCCTCGGTTTGGGCTTGGGTTTCTCCCTCTCTGCAATCACATTGATTTTCAGAGAAGCAAGGCAAAGCAGCCACATCGGAGCCCACAGATCCCGTTACGGCAAAGCCCAGGGGCTGGGG